AGAGAGAGAGAGAGAGAGAGAGAGAGAGAGAGAGAATGATCAGGAAGTTACCAACAGCACACTTCCAGACACCCTGGTGCCCCTAAAGGAAGAATGCCTTCTGAGAGCAGAGCAGATCACAGATCCTCTGGGCAAATGAGAAAGCAAGTGATCATGTCAGCGGTGTCTTCAAAAAGAAACTTTGGAGAGTCAGTTGGCTCCAGAAAGCACCTGTTTATTAGAAGCCCTTTAATAACTGCATTCCAATAGCATGACTTGAGTCATCTCTGGTCCTTTCTCCACTAATTTTCTTACCTATGAGTTCAATGAGAAAGAATCAAAACCTACAAGAACATCCAACCTTTAACACTACATGACATTGTCATCTACAGACGACAATGTGCTGAACTCCTTTTCTAGATATCATGGGAAGGAAGTAGTCTGGGTACCTCAGACTGGATATTTCTGTGGATCTAAAGGGCTATCATATGTACACAGCATCTTCTGACATCATATGTGCCTGGTCCAGCCACAGGAAGGGAGATGTAAAACCCAGCCAGTAGGGAACAGAAGCAGAACAGCTGGAGAACAGTTCCATATCAGCTCCATGTACATCCTGAAATGGGTCCTCCAACCCAGTTCCCAACATGTCAATCTCCAAAATGTTCCACCTGTAAAAATAAACTTAGTTTTGACTTAAAAATATTTTAATATAGATCCTAGTACATAATGTTTATAGAAAGCATAACTTGCTTTATAAGGGATAGACAATTCTCAAAATGTTTTAAGAATATCCACAAACACATGTTAAAAACAAAACCTAAAGCAGTAGGGTCCTTACCTGAATAGATCCTGGGAAGAAGGAATAAGATACTTGTCTGGCTCCACCCTCTTGACACAACATCAAAGGCCCATTAAGGGAAAACTATTCCCTCCTGGTTAAGAAAATGGAATCTCTGGCCATGGTGGAGAACTAACATTCCAGTTGGGCATGTAAATGGCCTAGCTAAGGAGACCACCCACCAGGGAACCAGGACCATCCCTTGGAAGGTAGGTTCACCTTAAGCTACTTTAATAAGATCAGTGGAATAGTTGTTTCTTTCATGAAATAATCTTCCTTCCTCAAAGCCTTGCCCTTTAGGAACTGCACGATGTTTGCCTGAATCCACACACCTTTCTGAGTCTTTCAGATAGGCATCAGCATCCCTTTTCTTCTCTTCTGTCTTTGTATTTCAGATCCTACCCATAGCCTAAATATGCATTTTCTGGTACTTTGGGAGGGGGGGGTCTTTATTCTCTCTCTAAAACTCAACTTCCAACCATGTAGCTGCTTGTCCACCATGCAATTGACCTCTGTGACAGATACACATCACATGTCAAGACTTCCTTCCTTCTCTCCTCCACTGGGATTACAACTTGCCTGCCATTTGCTTGCTTGCTTACTTGCTTGTCTTAATCTAATAAAGCTTTCCTCAAGTTTTTTTTAGTCCATTCTTAAATTCTTTTATTAATGAGACTAAGATCTCCAAGAGGGGAACCTGACTGCCAACATTACTCTGACTTCTTTGACCCTGTTCTGGTGGTTCTTCACCTTGATAGTTCATTGGGATCATATGAGAAGCTTTAAAAACAGAGTTGATGAGATCCCACCCCTAGAGATGCAGCTATAATAAGCCTGGGTATCACTGGAAAGTTTTTAGCTCCCCCAAGGTGATCTTAATGCTCAGCTGGGGTTGACTTTCCTTATAGAACAGCAGCACCTCCATAAAGAGGCCCACATGGTTAGCAATACAAAATGCCCCAAGAAGAATCATGGTGTAACCCATTCACATCCATATTCTCCCAAGATACACACCTGTGTATCCCACAGTCTCCATAGCCTAACCTCTCAAGATAAAGATACACACCTGCCCTCATTGGCTCCCACACACTTGATCACCTCACTGATTTCTCTTCCCCAAATGGAAGCCCGAAGTGAGTGCAGAGGGCCAGGAATTTAAATCTTATTTATGTGTGTCATATTAAAGTACTTCTTCAGATCTAATACCAAACAGAAGTTAGAAACTTAGTGTGCCAGGTGAGGACAGCTTAGGTTCTATGCAGGTAAATCTTTCTTTCCCCTTCCCTCCCCTTTCTCCTCTCTCTCTCTCTCTGTCGTTATCTCTGTCTCTCTCTGGGTCTCTGTCTCTCTCTGTCTCTGTGTCTCTCTGTCTCTCTCTCTCTCTGTCTCTCTCTCTTTCTCTCTCTCTCTGTCTCTCTCTCCCTGTCTCTGCCTCCTTTACTCCCATCTTCCCTTCTCCTCTTCCCTCCCTCTCTCTATCCCTTAACCTGTCTCAAGCTGTAGTTAGATATGGGCAGTTGCCTAGCGTATCTTGGGAAACTCCACTGAACAGGGCTCCAGTCCAGCCCTGTGTCTAGTCACACGTATCTCAGTATATGGAACAATCAGGAAAGGAGACCATATTTAAAGTGGAGCCTTGTGGAATAGCCTCATTGCTAGAACAGAAGGCTCTCAAAAGGATTCCCTGACTGCCTTCTAGATGCCTCTCATAGCCTAAGGGGTGGCATAACAAGACTGAATTGCAACAGGACCATGTGCAGAGTGGACAGTCCATCTTCCTCTATGCTCTGCATGGGTGAAGCTTGGGCTAAGATCATGAGGAAGATGTGACATGGAACTTTCCCATCCACCCACAGTGCTGCAAGTCTCCAAGAGTCTGGAGGGGCAGAGATAGCCACCTTGCTTGTTTCCCACTCCACTAACCGTGTTGAGCTGTACACAGACACAGCAGTCTATGCAATCTAGCCCTTTGACTTGAGTCAGAGTGAACGGTTGAGTAGCCTCTATACTCTTCCTGCTGAGATCTGGTGCTATTTTTCCCCATTGAGAGCAAGGAGATGAGTTTCCACCACCTCCTTGGAGAAGGAGGCCCAATTATCTACCATGCAGCTGAAGCTGTGCTAACATATAGAGCTGGTGTCTAGCCAGCCCTCTTGCCTTCACTCAATCCAGCAGGAATGTCTACAGCATGTCAGAGAGGGTGGTCTTACCTTCTGAGCAGAGTGTGCCACCATAGCCAGTGGTAGAACAGTCACAGGTGGGATGACCATCCAAGAGGAAGCAGATCCCACCATTTTCACAGGGACGCTCGCCACAGGGTCCCTCTGCTTCTAACCGGATGCTCTGGCTCCCCAGGAGCCGAGGTTCCGAGTTGCCATACTTGAGATCCAGCATTAATCCCTTAAAGCCAGGCATGCTCTGTACTCCATCGAGAGTCAGGGTAGAAGGTCGAATGTCAGCGGGAACGCCACCGAGGAATAAATCACTGACCACTTCCATGTAGGGCCGCTGGGACCATAGCTCGCCAGACTGACCCTCGCCATCGATTACCAGCCCAGTGCGCACACGGTCACGGCTCACCATGAGGAAGTGCCAACTGCTGTCGTTCACCTGCTTGTTGGACAACACAGTGGTCTCGGTGCAGTCCATGCTAAAGCGGAGCTGAACGCGGCCATCCACCAGGGAGAGGCAGAGGAAGTCACAGACACCACCATCATCCAAATACAGGAGCAGCCCCGTGGAAACATTGGTCTTGAACTGGAAGCTCAGGTCACTGCGTGTGCTTGCATCCCAGCGCAGGTAGCGGGCCCACTGGTTAGGGAGACCCATGAACTCCAGACCCAGGCAAAGCCCCACCAGGGAGCCCAGAAAGATGCTCACCTTCAAGGTGAAGAAAACTGAGTGGAGGGTAAAGCTCATGGTGCCTGCTGGGTTAGAGCTGAGAGGAGCAGACAAGCCAGGGATCAGCTGTGGGGGCAGGAAGCAGGGGATAGGCGTTGGTGAGGGAAAAGAGAGAAAACAGAGTGGTACAAGAGAAGACACAAGAAGAACACACACAGAAATGTTAGGAGGAAAGGGGAAGGAGGGAAAAGAACAGCACAGCTCTAAATAGGCACACAGGCAAGAAATCCAATAAAGAGGGAGAAAAAATAGACGGGGACGTCAGGTGAGGTAAATCAGGGATGAGGCGAGGAAGAAGTATCTTTCTCCAAGAAAAGATCTCAGCTATCCATGTGGATCCGGAGGCCTTGATTCAAGGAGGAGAAGGAGCCCAGGGTGGGTACAAGCCTTCAATAATGTCTTCCTCCTAGCAAATGCGTCCTAGCCAGGGAGACCAAGGACAGGGCTGGATCTCAGGGTGCCGTGATGGAGAAGGGGGAAACCTGGAGGTGAGCCAGGTGAAGGGTAGGCCCAAGCCAAGGCCCAGTGCTGAGGTTAGACTGTCTAGCAGCAGCAGGACCTGGGAAGGGGAACCGCAAGCAACTGAGTACTCAGGTGGAGTGAGGCCCAGAGCAGAGCCAAAGCAGATTCAGGCTTCATGGTGCTGGCCAGAGGCAGTGCTGCCCATAACAGAGCTCCCAGGACTCCAGAGCAAAGACCTGTGGGGAAGACAAAGAAGAGGTGAGAACTAGGGCTAAGCATCAACTATTACATCCTCTGGCACAAAGACTGATGAAGTGCTGATACCCCTAAGCTGTTCTAGATGCTCCTTCAATGCTAGGGATTTCACACAGGACAGGGGCCCAGTTCTCCCATGCCAGGAGAAAATCCTCAAGTCCAGCTCCTACGTACACACTCAGTTTTTCCAAATTTAATATGCAAAAGTCATGGAAAGTCCCCAACACTACGTCAGCACATTTTTGGAAATAGCCAGACTTGAAACATTAACATTTTAAAGCATTCAAACATCCATGTATAATATTTGCTTACTTATCTAATAAAAACACTTTTTTTCTTTTTCAACTTTACAATCCACTACTTACATATAAGAGTCCTAAGAGCTTAAACTTTAGAAAGAAATATATATAAATCAGGGAAAGTGCATTACTAGAAAAAAAGGCCACAGTCTCTAACCAAATAGCAGGGAAACCATCTTTAAAATACAAACTTTAAGGTTAAAAAATTTAAAAGGCTGAGTTTGGATTCTAATTCCTATCCATGAAATTTGAAATAATATTCTTTTCCTGTTTGCATTTCTACTTAATAATTCAAAAAAATAGGTAAAATAATGGTCTCTTTCCAAGATTGAGGGAAAAAGAAGTGAGATTATGTGGTATGAGCCCAGCATATGCTCTGTACACCATAGGTGATCAACATACACTAGGTTGGTTTCTTTCTTATTTCTAAAATGAGAAGGAATGGGTGCGACATGAGGTAGGTGTGTGTGTGTGTGTGTGTGTGTGCTGGTTAGTGTTGCTTTGATAAAATGAAGTCAACTATACTCACACCGAAGCTGTATGTCAACATTATAAGCAACACCTGGCCTGTGATAAGATGAAACTTAGCCATATAAAGATCCAGGAAGAGTAGTACAGAATATAACAGGAAGTAATAGCAGGATACTTAACAGTCTCTGAGAATGTGATCGGTGTATTGGATAAGATATGTCAACCAAATTGAAAATCAGCATTACCCAGGGGAAGGGAAATTCTAGTCTACCTAACTCTAGCTTATCCCAGGTACTACTAGATCAGCTGAGCATAGCATAAGACACTGTTAATATCCAAGGACATCACAAACTGGTAGAGGAAAAGTTTATTTTGGAGACAGTAAATCACAGAAATAAGTCAGGTACTAGAGCCAGATTGTTTGTTGCAGTGACACTCTGCGGATGGGGGAAAGCAACTGCTTCACTATAGTACCTACCACAGGATATTGTCACATAACAGAAACCATGAAATGTCCATACAAAGAGTAAACCATAAACAGAATTTGAGGTCCTTTCACTTCTAGTCCGTGGCCAAGACTTCTACATGGCCCCACTGTACACAAGACAACTCTGCTAAGTATGCCCTCAACTTTTCAAGATGCCAGCCTCAAGTGGTCCAGGAGGACAAATCAATGCCTGCTTAATTGTGGAACCCTGTGAATGAATGAAGAACCTTGATGCTCAGACATCCACCTATTAGAGTGTATTGTGGATTTACCCATCTTGCTTTATGGAAACCACACTAATCTATGCAAATGAGAATCCACCTTCAGACTCTAGTCCTTCCCCCTCAGTGAGATTAGCATTGCAGATACCAACATCCCCACACTATATATCAGAAAGGATCAAAGAGTCTGATGGAGAGAAGCCAAGCTTTTAATCCCATAGGTACCAGGCAGGTCTGATGTAGGAATCAGGTATCATTAGAACCAGTCCATCAAGACTCAGAACACTACTGACTGTCCACATTCTTTCTAAATCATCTTTCTTGACCTGGGAACATTCCCATGACCTTTGAGAATTTGCCCAACTGACCAAAAGCTATATATGACCTTATAACAAGTTCTCAAGGACCCCGACCCAGCTGCTGCTAATTGTACTATGGCTTTCTCCAGTCATTTAGCAGAAAGTGTCCGGCTCAAGAAATGGGACAAAGGAAAACAAGAGAACCTTCATGACCCAGTCAGCCAGTGGTCACCCACCCCTGATCCCAGATCACCACAAGCAGTTGGGGATCAGGGGGTTGGCTCTAGAACCCAGAAGGAAGGTTGAGGATGGTACTGAAGTTCCAAACAGTTATCTACTGTGTGGGAACCAAGCTCGAGAGGGAAAGTGAGTGACATTATCTAATTGCCAGCTAATTTACATGATCGCCGAACAGCACCGTTTTGATGTTGGGTGAACAACTTTGCAAATGTCTCATATTCCGGCTGCTTAGGATGCAAGGGAGACATCGCACAACTTTGACATGTGGGCTATTTGCCACAGTGACGGTTCAGAAGATTGGGGGGCCATCCTCCCTGCCCACTCTTCTCCTTTTCCAATGGCCATGGAGTTTTAATTGACCTTGAAACAGACTCAAGAGATAGGACAGTGTCTAAAACTAGAATGGTTGGGATGATAGGATGATGACCATTCTCTACCCTATACACTACAATGCCCTGGGTGGGGTTCTCAATCTTTCCTCTAGAGTCTAGAACCTTCTTAATTATTTCCATTCTTGGACCCCTCATCAGATTCTAAGGGCTTATGGTGGCTTTGATCCCACTCACTACACCTTTTATTTTATAGGTAGATGTTTACCACCAGTCCTAGTTTGTGTTGTTCAAATGAGATTTGCCTTAATCTCATATCACATGACCCAGGATAGCCCACTAGGATATTCCAGCTTCTTGATCACAGTAAATGGTTTAGAGATAAGTGTTCCGTCAAACTTAGTCAAATTAGAACTAATGCTAGAACTTTAATTAGAATTATTGGGAACATAATCCTCTTGTTCTTTTTTGCCATTTTATTATACTCTCAAGTTGATGACAAATACCATTATTACTATTAAAGATAATTATTTTTGAATGAAGAACCAAGGCAAGACATATTTCTGATGGCATTTTTAAAAAATCTACATCTAATGAGGTCTGGAAAGGAGAGAGTTCTAGGGCTTTCTTTACATAAGCTAAATTTGTTTTTTATTTAAACAAGTTTGAGTTGAGGCAATACCAAGAGTCTTGATAAATACTATTCTAGTAATGCTGGGCTATCAAAAGTTCTATCTTCAGTAAGTTAAGAAAAGCTACTGTCTCACGCTGCCTCACCCATATCTGAAGGAACTCTCTGTGATTTGAGATTCACATGCTGCTCCCTCCCAGCAACAAAGCTCTGGATATGCATCACCCATGATCTTGGGCAAAGGCATAGAACACAGTGCCTCTTCTCTCACTTTGAAGATAGATGGAGGTTTGTTCTAAATAGTCTCAGAAATGTACTCTTTCAACTAAATCACAACCCCCACTCACCTACTCACTCCCAAGACTACACCTACTTTAATACATAAGTAAGGCCCTGCTGCAGGCAAAGAGGGGTCAAGGCACAGATTCTTCTCAGATCTGAAAGTAGTGTAGAGAATAATGGAGAACATGGGCTTTGAGTCAGGCAGAACTGTATCTAAATCCAGACTCTCATTTTCATAGGTACTTAACAGTGGGCAACTCCTTTGAGTCTTTATGCATCCCAAAGAAAGAAGAGGTTGATAGTCCTTACTAATGTAATTTTGAACTCTATCAATTATAAAACTGTATATATAGACACAACTTTTAAAACTGTAATGATATATCTAATAAAACTGAATGCTATTAAAATCCTCATAACTTTGTTATTCCCCTGCTAAGTAGATATCAACAGAAATGCTTAATTTGTCCAAAGACATCTGAGAATACTCATAGCCTTATTCCCTATAGTAGATCACCAAATGTGCAGCACAGACTATACATAAATTCTAATCTATCCATGCAAAGTAATGTCCAAATTTGAAAGTGACTAGTCTTCGTTTCTAGACACACATGCATGACTCTTACAAACAGAATATTGAAACAAGTATAAGACATGGATGGAAGGGAATGTACTGTATATGTTTCATTCATATGAAATAGAAAAGAGGCAAAAAACCATTTATTCTATGCTGTTGATCATCAGATTGGTGGTTACTAGGAGAATGGAACAGAAGAGGGAATGAAATTCATTTCAGAATCTCAGTGAGGCTTCAGTGTGTACAAACTCATAGACTGAGCAACTATCTTCTATCTGTGAATAGATGTATGTTTCTATCTGTGTTTTTCAATTAAGAACACATAATATACAGTACATGCCTCACATGTACTATATATCTGTCCACTTTCCTATGATACCTAGGGGTTTGTTTTTGGTTTGTTTAGGTTTTTGGTTTGTGTGTGTGTGTGTGCGTGTGTGTGTGTACACATGTTCATGTGTGTCTGGA